AACTCTTCTTTAGACCATGCAATAATGTTAACAACTTTCTTCCTTTTTTTCCTTCCATAGAGCATTTTGCAATTTAAATCAGAGATGAAAAAATGTCTAACCAAACTTCTGTGAACACGTTTCTGCTCTTGGAGTTTTCTAATGTTCGAGAACTGCAGATAACACAATTCTTTGTGTTCTTGCTTTTTTATTTGGCCACTGTCACAGGAAATCTTCTCATCATTTCTGCAGTAGCTCTTGATCATCACCTTCACACTCCTATGTATTTCTTCCTGATGAACTTAGCTGTGACTGATCTTGGCTCAGTTTCAGTCACAATCCCCAAATCGATGTCAAATTCCCTTTCAAATACTAGGGTGATTTCTTATTCTGGATGTGTCACTCAAGTTTATTTCTTTCTGCTTTTTGCAGCATCAGATTACACCCTCCTCACTGTCATGGCACATGATCGGTATGTCGCCATCTGCAATCCACTACGGTATGAGGCAATTATGAATCAAGGTGCCTGCATTCAGATGGCGGGCAGTGCATGGCTCAGTGGTCTTCTCTATGCTGTGTTGCACACTGGCAGCACTTTTGCCATGACCTTCTGCTCCAATATTGTTGATCAGTTTTTCTGTGAGGTCCCTCAGCTTGTAAAGATCTCCTGCTCAAAGTTATACATACTTGAAAATGCACTTCTTTTCTTAAGTGTGGCTGTAGCATTTGGCTGCTTTATTTTTATAATTGTAACCTATGTCCAGATATTCAGTACAGTTCTGAGAATGCCCTCATCACAGGGAAGGCAAAAAGCTTTCTCAACTTGCATTCCCCACCTCATTGTTTTCTCCATGTTCCTGTTTGGTGGAGCACTTGTTTACCTAAGACCCATACAGCATGCCTCCTCACATACAAATATGGTCTTTGCCGTCATATATTCCGTGATTCCACCCATGATGAATCCGGTGATCTATAGCATGAGGAATAAGGAGATTAAGGTCGCTATGTCCAAGATTTTAGGATTGAAATAGCTTTCTAAGGATACAATTTGTGGTGTTATTCTTTATGCAGGGTTTTGTATGTAATGATGTTAAAGTGTATGAATGTTTTGATACACAATCAAAGTAGGGGAAGTTAATGTGGTTCCCATGTTGTTGGAATTCAACTCCCATCTGTCTCAGCCAGCATGGCCAATGTGTGCTTTGTCCATTTCAGTCCTAAATATCTTTTCTTGTTTGTTATAGAAGAAAAATGTCAGCATAGAACTATTTCAAAGCATTAATCCTATTGTAATTTAAGTATGCTTAGGGTTTTAAAGAAACAGAGCCATTTTTAATCGATCAATCATCCCGTTTTAAATTGGTTAAGCAATCTAGTGCATTTTCATGAATGGGTGAGTCTATATATATCTCACACTGAAACAATAATATCGGTTCTTTCTTAGATATTGAAAGAAATATGAGATAACTTACAACTGAATATAAAAATCAGTCACTCATTGCTCAAATAAAAATATAAGCTTCAAACATTTTCTTCTACATTCCATCAATCTGGTTTGAGTATTTTTATTTATTTATTTACGGCTATTAGCCCATAAAAGGTTTGAGTAGTTAATGACACGTGTTGGGATTCACCTAAAATTGGTGTGATACACCATTCATCTGAATAAGAATGGAACATTCTAACATCCTGATGTAGGCCTGATCTGCACAGATCTCCATTTCCCGCCCTCGCTTCTAATTCCCTTGATGTTGATATAATGCGAGGTTTCATTCTGTTAAAATGCAAACAGATATAATTCTGTTCTTCTATGTTATACAGGTGTAATATCTTGTGCTATAGGATTGGAGGCTTTGTTTAGCTGATGCTTGTGGTTCTCAAACAAAACAAGGCTGTAATTTTGATATACAGTATGTAATGTTGGGATCATGTCAGTCTCTTTGTTAAGATAAGAGACCTGGCTAACACTGTTAAACACCCTATTTGCATGACTAAAGAGCTGCACATGTTTCCATAGGAACAACTAGCTAATGGTGCTTCCAGAAGTAGGGTGCAAGTCTTTGCCTCTCACCTGAATGGATACTAGGTCATCTTGTAAGAAGGAGAATAGGCAGGGAACTGAAAACTAGAAAGACAGAGACTGGAAATGCTCACTGTGCTGAAACCAAAGCTATGGTTTTGCAGACCCATAGAGACATAATGGGGAAGCAAGGTATTGTTATAAGAATTCTGAGGTCTCAAAAATATAATAAATATTCATAAAAGCATACATATCTAAATATATAAACCATGTGTCTGACATAGTGCAGGAGAGCAATCCTGAAATCAGTTTGACTCTCCCAATGACCTGAAATATTCCTCTATAGTAAGGGAGGCAAATGGGGAAAGCCTTCTTACTGTCTTTTTGCTTACAAATTCTGTCTTAAGGCATATTTATGTATGAATAGGGTGAGCCTGTGACCTAGATACAGGAACTAAAATATTAAGCATCACAAAACCATCACAATGGCCAGGCTGCCCAGGTAATGCAATCAGCGACAAATTGTCAGATATCCTGGCAGACAGGATTTCTGCTGTAGACCACCTCCTATGATATATATATGATGATATTGGGGTGATCTTTGGACTAGGGGGGTTGGGCCATGTCAAAAGTCTTTAAAGGATGCACACTTTTGTTCAGGGAGGGGAGGGAATTCTGTTTCAACAGAAAAAATAAATATCTACCTTGCTTTCCACTGGATCTAGCCTCTATCCATTTTTTCTCTGACCAATCATGGACTTAGGGGATTCAGAGTCCCTTGGGGAGTTGGGCAGCAAAAGCCAAACTCCATTTTTTATATCAGTATGCCAGAGTGTTAATGCTGTGACTCTTCCCATCTTACGCTCAGATTGTATATATTTATAAAAATAAAACCATATATCCTGAAAACACCACAATTTCCAGTGACTTCATCACAAGGAAACCAAACCTGGGAAAGTTTTGGCACCCCTGGAGTCTCTCACCACTTAGAGACTGGAGCGCATGCAACACTAGCATAGTTATTCCTCTGATTTCATGGATCAGGAGTGTTCAGTACACCAGCCCTAGCCATCACTCCGTAAGGCAGTGAGATCAGAGGCGGAATTAGGGGAGTGAAACTGGTTCGTCCACACTGGGTGCCAAGCCGAGAAGACGCCACAGCCATGATGAGGAACAGAAGTTGAGAGGTTGGGGTGCTGAATTTTGGCATTGCACATGGTGCCACTGAAATTTTAAATCCCAAAGTCTGGCACTGGTGGGAAGTAGCTACACTCTGCGAATGGTCAGAAACTGATTCTTCTGTCTTGGTGTTGGCATTCTTACATAAACATACTCTGTCATCATAGCCTAGTTGCATCAATGGTTAGGTACTGTATTCTTCCTCTCAATTAAAAAAAAAAAAGACTGGTATGTGGCTGATGTAAATCTGATTAGCCAAGCAGAAGGAAGTGGTCGGGGTTGAGGGTGTTCCAAATTGTTGTTGTGAGTGTGTGTGTGGGTGTTATGATGTGTCTGTTTGCACTGCCAGCATTCATGTATGTTCAGCTGTTCCACCTGGCCTTTGGTTTGGACTCAGTCTGACCCTTACGTTTCCCTCCCCATACTGTTTTGATCTATGGACTACTTTTAAAATGAGGCTGCATTTTAAATTGCATTTTAACCTGTATTTTAAATTTTTCTGTATTATGTTTTTATTGTAATTTTACTGGTTTCAGCTGCCCTAAGCCCAGCTCTGGCCGGGGAGGGTGAGGTATAAATAAAAAATTATTATTATTATTATTATTATTATTATTATTATTATTATTATTTACATACAGCTGAGTAGTTTAGGATCTTTTGCTGGAGTTATGACGTGTTCTTGTTATAAAAGGTAAAGGTACCCCTGCCCGTATGGGCCAGTCTTGACAGACTCTAGGGTTGTACGCTCATCTCACTCTAGAGGCCAGGAGCCAGCGCTGTCCGGAGACACTTCCGGGTCACGTGGCCAGCGTGACATTGCTGCTCTGGCGAGCAGTTTACCTTCCCGCCGTTTACCTTCCCGCTAGTAAGCGGTCCCTATTTATCTACTTGCACCCGGGGCTGCTTTCGAACTGCGAGGTTGGCAGGTGCTGGGACCGAGCAATGGGAGTGCACCCCGCCGCTGGGATTCGAACCGCCAACCTTTCGATCGGCAAGCCGTAGGTGCTGAGGCTTTTACCCACAGCGCCACCCGCATCCCTTGTGATGGATGTGTGTTAACCCCTAATCTTATGCCCACAAGAAGTTCTCACACAAAGAAACAAAGAAAGCTTGGTTTATTATATAAAATAGGAGTGACAGAATATATAAAAATGCTGCTTTAGATAGCAAAGTTACAATCTAGGAAGTAGCACATTACAATACATACACACTTTGATTAAAGAACAAAAGATCCCCTAACTATTCTAAAAGCCTACAGAACCAAAATGGGGAGGAAGGGGGAAGTATGCCTGTCCTTAAAGTGAAGCAGATATACAGAGTCCTAGGGATCACTGGGTTAAGTGCTGTCCTGTTAGAGCTGTGGGAGCTTTGCATCTATTTATATACACACACATTTTATACACACATTTTATATTATATATATATATATATATATATATATATATATATATATATATATACACACACACACACACACACACACACACACACACACACACACATTTTGCCAAGGCATACCAGTAGAGGGGAGGGGGTTGTGAAATGAGTGGTTCCTACAATCTGTATAGTTACACTAGTGGCCAAAATTGTGGAAACCTTTTGGGAAAAAGTGTATTTCCAAGGTTTGATGGCTCATAACACCACTTTATTCTGGAGTAATACCATAAAATTATATATCAATGGAAAAACAATTTAATGAAGAATGCATTAAACTCAAGAGAGCAAATCTCTAGGAACACAAACCAGATATTACTGTACCCTCCTCCCCTTGCTGAATATATCTTTTTGGCCATCAAGGACTGGTTGGGTTTCATATGCTTTTATGGAGGACTATCCAAATGCACAGACAGCTGAAGTCCTTAGAGGAGAAAGCACATCTGAAGGTAAGAGAAAAATATTACTAAATTAATTCATATAGTTCAAACCTTACCTAACACCATATGAGTTACTTAATGGATCTCACATGTATATCCTTTAAATCACTGGTTGCCAACTAATAGGTCATGGCCCGATTCAGTATAGGCTGCAACAGTAGCACTACCACCATGCAAATGTATAGTACAGGATTAATCAATTGTTCTCAACTTTATGTGTGGGTTAAAAGCAGGTCCTGAGTTGGAAACTGTTGAAGTTTGTTTGTTTGTTTGTTTATAAGAAAATCTTGATGAATGTGAGATTTTTTCCTGGGCGTGGGAATCCTTTTTTATTCTTCACACACACAAAAAATAAATGAGTTCTTTAAGTTTTAAAAGCAGGGTGTTGTGTTGGCTATAATGCAGAACCACAATCAATAAAGCAAGAGCTGCCTTTAACATTTCAAACTGAAGTGATTTTGGGGTTTTCTTCAGTGGCAAAACATCCGAGGAAAGTAGGAAGAGGAACTTAAGGAAAGGATAAATTCCAAAATTTATTTGACAGTTTCCATATGCATTGGGAAATTGAAAGGTTTTAACTAAGCTAGTGAAATTTCAGAGGAGGAAAGAGAGTTTGTGCTCCTTTCATAATATGCTGTGGCTTCTCTGATGCTTTGATGGCAGAATACTTCTTACCTGCTGCATCTGAAAAAATCATTAACTTTCTCTTTATTTTCAAAGTGCCTGGTTGTCATGTAACAGATTTTGTCACATTGTGGATCTATTCAGCTGCAGCCCCATGCACTCTTAACTGAAAATTGCATCCAAATTGAACATAAGTAGGACAGGACTGTATGTCAGTGAGTTGTAAGAACCACTTTCAATGTGTTTAGGTCTTTTACCCTCACTCTTCCAATTTTTCTCTCACAATTCTTTAAGCGCTTATTTATATAGTATTTTTCCCAGTGTACTTTTTTTCCCTTCTGATATTGTCCCCCTCAAAAATGGCATCCTGTGGGGGATAGTAGGTGCTGATATTCAACAGGAGAAAGCTTAAAATCCTTTGGTGTGCAGGGTTAGGCTGTGTGCACAGTCCCCATTTCTCTGTGTGCTCCTATCACTGGTTTGAGAAGTGGTATACACACAGCATAAGCCAAAAGCCACATGTCTCTGGTCATTTTTTAAGAACTGCTGCATTTCCTCCCAAACCACATTTGATCCAAGTTTTGAAGAGTGACCTAGCTACATTTCAAGCTGGTATTTAGTAGACATCCTTAGCTGTTCTAATCCCACACCCAAAATATCTATCCAGTACTATAACTTTTGTGGAAACTGTTTGGAAACTCAACCTAGGCATTGTTTCTTGTCTTACAGTTGAGTTTGTTACTTATCTCCCTCAAAATTCTTCAGATGTTATTTTACATCACCCAGAATGCTGAAGTTACATCCATGGGAGCTCTGAAGGCTGCTGATGTCCTTCGCAATTCATGGTGCAGGCAAGAGCAATGTGTTATTTTGTAATTGCAACTTTTGTTTTGCAACTATTTTAAGACTGTTTCCAGTAAAAATTTGAAACTCATTCTTATGTTGGAGAGCAAATTCTTCTCTACTCTACACAAGGTCCAGATCGGGGATTCCAAAGCACCGTTGTTGTTTTTTGGGGGGAGGGGTTGGCATCCATCTGTCTTGGAGACAATGGAGTCCACCTCCAGGAGTATGAAATGTTAAATTCTCCAGGCTGAAGTGTTATATTACTAGAATATTCTGCTGTCATTAAAACTTTTTACTTCTGTTTCTTTTTGCAGAAAGTATGGACCAAAGCAAAGACCAAACTATAGCTAACCAATCCTTTGTTTCAGAGTTTCTACTCCTGGAATTCTCAAAAGTTTGGGAATTTCAGATAATACACTTTGTAATATTCCTGGTATTGTACTTGGCAATTGTAACAGGGAATCTTCTCATCATCTCTGTAGTAGCCTTTGACCATCGTCTGCACACCCCCATGTACCTCTTTCTAATGAACTTAGCCATGCAGGACCTGGGCCAAGTTTCAGTCATTATTCCCAAATCCATGGCCAATTCACTCATGAATTCTAGGCACATTTCTTATTCTGGATGCGTTGCTCAAGTCCTATTCTTCACCTTCTTCATATCTACTGATTTTTTCCTCCTCATAGTCATGGCCTATGATCGGTATGTTGCTATTTGCAACCCACTGCAATATCACATGGTGATGAACAGGAGAGCCTGCACTGAAATGATTTTTACTTCATGCGTCACTGGGTTTCTTTATGCAGGTTTGCACACTGTCAGCACTTTTGCAACTCCTTTCTGCTCCAATGTTGTCAATCAGTTTTTCTGTGAAATCCCACAGTTAGTAAAGCTTTCCTGTTCTAAGAAAAATCAGATTGAAACTGGAGTTCTGCTCTTGTTTTGTCTCATTGGGGTAGGCTGCTTTATATTTGTTCTTGTGACATATGTACAGATTTTTAGTGCGGTGTTAAGGATGACATCTGCACAGGGAAGACAAAAGGCCTTCTCTACCTGCCTTCCACATCTCATGGTATTCTCCACATTTATGGTCACAGGCTTGGTTTCCTATTTGAGTCCCATGACGAATACAGCAACACATTTAAATTTGTTTTTTACTGTGATATATTCTATGGTCCCACCTTTGCTGAACCCACTGATTTACAGCATGAGAAATAAAGAGATCAAGGCTGCTTTGTCAAATATGTTAAGGTTGAAAACATCTTCAAATAAATTTGTTTTTAGTTTTCTAATATAGAAATTAATATAGTCATTTTCTTTAGGTATGGATATGAGTGTCACATGGATGTTTCACATTGATTTCAATGGGACCAAAATAAAACTAAATCTGAATCCATCAATTGGTTGTTGTCTAACTATATGGATCTGCTAACATAAGGGTCTACATAAAGGAACTTCTACTACTTCTTGTCTTCCTGTGCATGCTCATGCCCTTCTAAATTTGTTCTTGGAGGTCCCCCAATGTCTCCAGAGTAGGAAAATGCATGCCTCCACCCTTCACTTCATCATAGACCACATTGTTCCCCAAGGTAGACTCCTTGCACATTTTGTTGAAAGACCAGCCACACCACCACAGCTACTCTGCCATTGCTTTGCATCGTTCCCAGGTGTGCCACAACTGCAAAGTCACAGTCAACTGACAGATCGATCTGGAGCTCTATGTCTCCTATGTGTACCTCAGCTTGTTCTACTATTTTGACTATGATGATATGGCCCTGAATAGCATTGCCAAGTACTTCCTATTTCTTTTTGAAAAACAGCTTTGACATTTTGCAAACCTTTCTGAGGATTTTTACAATCAAGTGGTGTATAAATTTTATGAAATAAAATTTATGCAAACACCACATAACACAATCTAATTGAATATTTAGTGTACATAAGGATGTTTATTTATTTAATGGATTTATACCCCCTCCTTTTGGTGAGGGATTATACCAAGGTAGCAAACACAAATATATACATTAAATGTACAACAATATATAAATTCATAATTAACATTAATGGTTTAAAGTATGTTTAATTCTTCATTGAATAGCAGCCACAAATTCTGGTACTCACTTGTGTATTGTTCTCAAGACTGTTCCACAATAACTGCTCTTTGAAATCACATTCTTCCATTGACCTTCTATTTGAACATCTTTTTATTGAGATATAAGGAACTATATTATAAGTCCCAGTTTTACTCACCTGTAAATCCTGCAAACAAACAGAGCAAGGAGAGATAAGTGCAGTAAGCTCCACCCATCCCCAACATTTCTATATTTTTACCCTCTGACTTGTCGTGAAGGAATGGGACTGTTTAAAAAGAAATGAACATTTTGCAAGCAGTTGGGTTTGAGAATAATGGAGTTAATTTGCTTCCTGAAGTCAACCATGTATTGCAGGTGATCACTTCATGAGATGTTAAAATGAGGATGTAAAACATGGATTTGAGGCAGCCTGCTCTATAAAGAGGATAAAGGACTCTAACTGAAATAATTTTGCTTAATTGAATTTTTGCAAATAGAAACCCCTTAGATAACACTAGCAGGATGCTTTTATTGTGTTTGTACACCTAATTCAGCTGAATCCCAAACTAAGTGGAGTAATTGGGGGATACCATGCATTGCAACACTGAATGGAAAGGAAAGTTGGATGATAATGAAGGTGAAGAGGATAAATAGGCCAAACTTCATTCCAATTAACTCAATGTTTGCCTTAAAATTAAGAATTCCATTGTCTAGTCTATCCATGTCAATAATGTGTTCTAATTCAAGCTAAAGAAACCCAACTCCCTCAACTGTTCCTCATAAGGCTTCCTTTCCAGACTCTTAGTTATCTTGGCCACCATTCTCTGCACATATTCCAGCTTGTCATGATCCTTCTTAACTTGTGAAACCCAGAACTCCACACTATTCTAGATGTGATCTGACCAAGGCAGAATAAAGCGATACTATTACTTTCCTTGATTGGGACACTATACTTCTGCCGATGCAGCCTAGAATAGCATTAGATTTAATTTTTTTGCTGTTAAAACACTGTTGAAACATCTTAAGCTTGTGGTCTTCTAAGATCCCTAGATCCTTTTCACATGTACTACTGGCAATCCAGTGATTTAGTGCAGCTGTTTCTTCCTGTCAAATGTAGAACCTTACATTTGTCCCTACTGAAATTCATTTTGTTAGTTTGGGCCCAGGTCTGCAATCTGTTAAGGCTATATTGAATCCTGATTCTGTCTTCCATGGCATTAGAAACCCCTCCCAGTTTGGTGTCATCTGCAAACTTGATGAGCATCCCCTTAATTCCTTCGACCAAGTCATTTATAAAGACATTGAACAACAATGAGCTCAGGACAGAACCCTGTGGCACCCTACTTGTCATTTATTTCCAAGATTAGATGTACTCTTTGGATTGGGTCAGCCAGCCAGGTATAAATCCAACTAACAATTACCCCACTCAACCCACATTTTACCAGCTTCTTCCCAAAAATATCATGGGGGACTTTGCCAAAAGTCTTACTGAAATCAAGTTATACTACATCCACAGCATTCCCCTGACTTTGAGGCTTGAAACTCAATCCATCAAAAAAAGAAAAGAAAAAAGGAATAAAGAAATGAGATTTGTCTGGCATGGCTTGTTTTTGAGAAACCCATGCTGGGTCTTGGTAATCACACCATCCTTTTCTAAGTCCTCACAGACTGACTGTTGAATTATCTGTTCTCGAACTTTTCCTGGTATCAATGTCAAGATCACTGGTCAGTAGTTACCTGGGTCTTCTTTGGCCTTGAAGAACTTAGGGCATGTGCCTCATCTGTTTTCCTTAAATATGAGTTCCATTGTAAAGCCCAAGGATATAATTGTCAGATTCACCTTTCACTTAATTAAGAGAAATTACTCAATAGAGAGTCAAAGTGCTAAAATTCCAGGATTCTAAGACCATTGTTTTGCAAAATATATGTGGAAGCACTTTAGGGCACCACCACTACTCAGCTTTGTAATGGGGTATCTACACAAAGCGAAAATTCCATATAGATGAGGCTTCCCATTCAATCTGATGGTCATAGTGGATGGAATACTGCATTCAGCGACCTGCATTCGAATCATCCTTTAGGTGAATCCTAAATGTAATGTGACGATACTTTGATGGAACGTATGAGGGTTGGGAGACCCAAGCAAATGTAAAAGGGTAGCTGATGCTGTCCACAAGCACCAGCCTAATGTTATCTGTCTCCAGGAGTCACACCATGTTGAGTCTGTTGTATGCCTACTAAAACACAAGTATTTTTAAGACTGCTGTAAGGGGAATCCATTGATTCCCATTACCCAGATTGCATTAAAAATGTTGTTAGAATCAGCTTACTCATATTGTGCTAAGAATGTGTCAAGAATATTTGTGCAGGAATAACTCAGCCTTGAGCTAGCCTGATAACAAGTTCCATCCTGTTCTTGCTGAACCAGGTATCCAGCTCTGATAATGCCTGCTTTTCCTCTGTGAATGTCACTTAATTTCTACATACATGTGTATAAAGCTAAGGAAAGGGCTCTATATAAGCCTGTGTAATTTATACATCTGTGAAATCGACCCTGGTGAACTCCCCAGTGACTGTTCCTTCTTGTTGAAATAAAACTGCATTAAGCTTTCCTTGCTGTGTTCATAAAATAATTCCAACACACTATTATATTGTACCCAGGACCAGAAGTTCAAGAGGGGTTGCCATAATCTTAAATACTACTTTTCATTTTCAAGTCCATAAGGTGAATGGTGACCCAGTTAACTATTATGGCCCAAGTCCTTTATATAAATTCTAACACCACTTTGGATCACAGACAATCTAAGTTCACCACCTACACAACTCTCAAAATACATGTCTGATTCAGTGTTGCTGAGCTGTACAAGACTCATGAGAATTAAACCTTCAGGGTGTGATTAGAAATGTGACATGAATAAACTCAGTGCTGAAGCTTACCACTGTTAGAACACATAGAGAGATGTCAAGAGAACATCACTCCAATTCTAAGATAATTACAGCTGAATAAGAAAGAAGTAATGTGCTATATTTCTGTTCACAAGTACCAAACAAACATCAGAGAAGCACAATGTCTAACCAGTCAAGAGTGAATGGATTCCTTCTTCATGGATTTGCTGAAATCCAGCAGTTGCAGATATTCCACATCATCATTTTTGTCAGTATGTATTTGGTGGCCTTCATAGAAAACCTTCTCATCATCACAGTCATCATCTATAGCCACCAGCTTCATACACCCATGTACTTCTTTCTGGCCAACCTGTCATTCCAAGACTTTGGCTCCATATCCGTTACAGTTCCCAAGTCCATTGCAAATTCATTGATGAAGACTCAAACCATCTCTTACTCTGGATGTATCTGCCAAGTCTCCTTCCTTGTCTTCTTCATGGTCTCCCACTTCATCATTCTTGGTGTCATGGCATATGATCGTTATGTTGCCATCTGCAATCCACTGCATTATGAGACTGTTATGAACAAAAAAGCTTGCATTCAGATGGCAGCCAGTGCATGGATTGGTGGAGTTTTTTATTCAACTATGTACACTGGGGCTACATTCAGATTTGAGTTCTGTTCTAATGTCATCAATCAGTTCTTCTGTGAAATCCCACAACTGCTGAAAATCTCTTGTTCTGACTCATATCTCAATGAAATTTGGGTTCTGATTTTTGGGTCGTTTTTTGGCTTCATTTACTTTTCTCTAATTATTTTTTCTTATGTTCAGATCTTCAGAGCTATTCTTAGAATCCCATCCAGCCAAGCGAAGCAAAAATTCTTCTCAACTTGCTTGCCTCACTTTATTGTTATTTCCCTGTTTGTAGTAAGTGGCACCTTTGTCTATTTCAGACCAAGTTCCAGTTCCCCATCAGCATTTGACCTCCTAGTTTCTATGTTCTACTGCATGGTGCCACCAGTAATGAACCCACTCATATATAGCATGAGAAACAAGGAACTGAAAGTGGCATTCTGGAAACTGATTACTAACATTTCTCCCCCAATCCTTCGGCAAAAACCGTTCTCCAGTGCATTTTAAAAAACAGCTTCTGTTGTCTATATGCCTTGCCCAAAATTTCCATTCATATGTTTGTTTACTCAGAAGTAGGCAACACTGAACTCAATAGGAATTACTCTCAGGTAAAGATTATAGCCATATAGGGCTTTAGACTGATGTTGTACTAAAGCTTTGATCCTCCCTATCCATTACCCATGCTAGCAGAGGCAGACAGAAATTGGA